TGTGTGTGGACGGGGGAGTATGTGTGTGTGTGTGTGTGTGTGTTATAGTTTACTGAAGGTAAGAGTCTCAGGCCCAGAGTTCAAGCTCCACAACTGACAAAAAAAAAAAAAGGAACTCACTGAAAGGTGTTCAATAATAGTAAGATAATAAGAAGGAGTAGTGATTGTAGGCAAGGGGGTCAATCTGATTAAAATACTGTAAATACAGATGTAAAATATCATGATGAAATCCCTTTGAACAATTAGCATAATTTTTTTTAAAAAAATGAAAGACAAAGCCAGGCACCACTGGCTCACAATGTTAATCCTAGTTATTCAGAAGGCTGAGATCTGAGGATCATAGTTCAAAGACAGCCTGGGCAGCCATAAAACTCTTATCTTCAATTAACCACTAAAAAGCCAGAAGTGGAGCTGTGGCTCAAGTAGTAGAATTAACTAGCCTTGAACACAAAAGTGCAAGGACAGCACCTAGACCCTGAGTTCAAGCTCCAAGACTGGCACAAAACACACACACACACACACACACACACACACACACACGAATGACAGGAATGTAAAATATAAAATAAGTTCTGCTGGAGTATGGACCTACTAGGAGAAGGGAAGCTGAACAGAGAAGGAGAAGGAGTGTAAAAATGGTACAAATATTTTAGGTACATATGTGAAAATGGAACAATTACACTCATTGAAATTGGCTTGGAGACCGGGCACTGGTGGCCTACACCTGTAATCCTAGCTACTCAGGAGGCTGAGATCTGAGGATCGCAGTTCAAAGCCAGCCTGGGCAGGAATGACCATGAGACTCATATCTCCAATAAACCACTAGAAAACAGGAAGTGGTGCTGTGGCTCAAGTGGTAGAGCACTAGACTTGAGCTGAAAAGCTGAGGGACAGTGCCTAGACCCAGAGTTCAAGGCCCATGACCAACAAAAAAAAAAAAGAAAGAGAGAAAGAAAGAAATTGGCTTGGAAAGGAGGGAGGATATATAAGGGAGAGTGACTAATCAATGTACATATATGGACATATCAAAATGAAACTCCCTTGGTACACTGAATTAATGGTAATAGAAATAAGGAGAAAAAAATAAAAAGAAATTCTAATGAAACTAGATGTTCTACAGAACAAAATGCTAATTTTGTTGTTAATCATTTGCTCAATTTATTTTCCAAAAACTTGTAGAAATATTCTTAACTTTAGCAATAGAGTATAAATAAAAACTGTTTCATGTTAACACTATTTTTTTTTTTTTTTTGCCGGTCATGGGGCCTGAACTCTGGGCCTGGGCGCTGTCCCTCAGCTCTTCAGCTCAAGGCTAGTGCTCTACCACTGGAGCCACAGCACCACTTCCGGCTTTTTCTGTTTATGTGGTGCTGAGGAATCAAACCCAGGGCCTCATGCTTGCAAGACATGCACTCTACCGCTGAGCTATCTTCCCAGCCCCTCATGTTAACACTATTATGAACAATACTACCAACAGGCTATCAGATATCTGAATTAAATAAATTAAAAATAAATTTTAAATTTTTTTTTACCATATTTCTGCTAAAACAGGAGCCGGTAGACCTGATTGCAAGAAAAAAGTACGTGCTTGATCACCTGAAGATAACAAAAACAAAAAACAAACTACACATTAGTAAATAAAATTACTCCAGTGTCTCTGAATAATAATAGGCTTATTATAATTTTATAATTTTAATTCTAATTAGAGTATAAATATACATATAAAATTATTTATGGTACTTCAATAAGATTTATATGTTTTAGGGCAATATAAATCATAATTGAAGTTATATATCAATGATTAAAGATTAGACTATTCATCTTAGATCTTTCACCACTAGGAGTCTTACTTGATAATATTCCATTAATAAAACTCATAGTTAAAAACACTAGACACACTCCTTACAATAAGTTCAAAATGGCCTAGTGCCAGTGACTCACACCTGTAATCCTAGCTACTCAAGAGTCCAAGACCAGGAGGATCACAGTTTGAAACCAACAAGGGCAGAAAAGTCTTTAAGACTCCATCTCCACTTACAAAATGCCAGATTAGAGGCATGGCTCAACAGGCAGAGAGTAAGAGTTCTAGCCAAAGTATGAGCACAAAACAAATAAACAAACAAAAAACACCAAATGTGAGGACACACAGTCCTCCACTAGTTTCTTCACACTGCATCCTGCTGTGTCTGTCAAGAATTTAAAACCCTAATTCCTCTCTTCTTTACTTTTCAGAAGTGGACTTTGTAAGTGAATAAATAAGGTAATATTGTCCAGTGAAATGAAGAATAAATTTGCTTTACTGCTTGCTACAAAATAGTAGGCTCTTTAAGATCAGTGTTTCTCTCCTATAACACACCTAGAGCATGTAGTATCTTTCCTGGCACTATACATCATCCTTGAAATGCTGAGGCAACAAAAGGTATCAACAGGAACATGTCTATGCTTGTGCTGCTAGATATGCTATTAATAAGGCAGTTCTTATAGCAAGAATACAAATAATATTAAACTATAATGGTTAAGAGGACAGATTTAAAAGTCATGATGAGGGCTGGGAAGTTGGCTCAGTGATAGAGTGCTTGTCTTGCATGCCTGAGGCCCTGGGTTCGATTCCTCAGCACCACGTAAGTTCTAATTCAAAGGTTGTGGGTTCGAGTCCCACCCAAAAAAATAAAAAAGTCATGATGAAAGTTATCAACATTAATCATCTTTATAACCTTGAGCAAGTTTCATAACATCTCTAAGCCTCGATTTTACTATCTGTAAATCTAGACAGCAATAGTAGCTACCTTATAGGGCACATTGTGAAGCCAAGTGAGATAATGCTAGCATAGCATCTGGCATACAGTACAAATTCAAATAACAATATAGTTACTATTATTGTGACTATATATAAAGCACTAAGATGCTTTGCACCAAAATAAAAGTTTCATTTCTAGAAAAAAAAATTGGAAGATACACTCAAATTAATTCTTTTTTTGGCTCTAGTGGTCTTTCTGCAAAACAAAAGCTAGCATTGACAATCAATGCTTGGTATAACCTCAAAAGAGATACATAAAAAGAGATCCCAAGGAAAAATTTGAGATAGTTTTCTAGGAATTGAATCTGCTTTAAGAAATAAATAAAAAACTTATAGTATTAAATGTAAAACTAGCTAATAACCAGAAACTTTTGACTGTAACAGTATTCAAGATCTGAACTCTAAAACAACAAATTTAGTTCTAAAAAAGTAGTTTTTAAATTCTAGAATTTTGTTTGATAGCTAGTTTTATTGTATAATAGTACAAATCTGATTACAATTAAGACTAACGCATGAAAAGATCATTAATTCACAGACAAAATATAACTAATTATAAACACAAACCTGTTATGAAACCTCCTGAAGGCTTGAGATTATCAAACTGTTTGTCATGCTTAGTGCGTTCTTCAGAGGTAATAGCCCACATGTTTGGCCCTCCTAAAACAAAAAACAAAGTAATTACAGCATCTACATGAACCTGCTCAAAATAGTATGTGCATGATAGGTTCAATTCTCAAATGCAAATATGAATCATAAGTGTGCATTTAGTGATTGTAGTTAATGTCTGAGTGGCACAAAAAAGTAGACCTCTATGAAGTATATACAGCACAGCGCTACAACTTTTCTTTCATTCACTCATTTAACACCTACTGTATAATAACTATATACCACTCACTGGAAGTTATATAAATACTGGCAAATAAAAAGATGAATAAAGTATTATTCTCACCCTCATGCAATTCACACCTAGAAAACAACTACCACCACTTACAAAGTATGAATATGAAAGAATGATAAACAGAAAGATAAGTAAGCTATGCTAATCCTATTAGAGAATTAGGAATGACTACAGGAAGATTAAAACTGTGGTGAGCCTTGAATGGTAGCTTGAATTTTGCCACACAAAAGGGTGGTGTAAGAGCACTCCATTCACACAGAAAATTCATGGTATAAGAAGTCAAGGAAGGAACAGATGTTCTAGGTGCACTGATGAACTGTTAGCGAGCTGCCATGTGAGCATGAGGAAATGAAAAGATATGGGTAGGCTGGAATTAACCAGAAATGGTAAATATATTTCCCAGTGCTGGGGATCAAATCTTGGGTTTGTACATACTCGGAAAACTATCAACCACGGAGCTTCCTTCTCCAGCTCTCCATTTCAAAGCCTCATTTTTCAAGGTCTCAGGTACACATATGTCACTTTTCCCAGGAGGTCCTCACACCTCTGGATCATAGTAATTGCTTCCCCTGCCAGACTCTCAAGAGACTCCTTAATGCTTGTTCAGAGAGCACTTAAGAAGGTGTTGTCACTGTTTTCTATACATCTGCTCTACCAGACTATGAGCCCTAAAGGACAGGAGCTTTGTGTGTTTGCCTTTGCCTTTTTATGCTTAGAATGAGATGACTTCATCAGCACAGGGCAAACACTTAAAAGAGATGGCTGAACAGATGTCTGGATTAAAAAAAGAAATGGGGGAGGGGGAAAAGAAGAAAGATAGGATGAAGACTTGAGGAAATATGATGATCCCTTATGCTTTTTTATTGTCTATTGTTCACAGTTACACTATCTCTTTGAAGTCTTTTTGAAATTATTTTTTATTTTTAATGTGCTGGTACTGAGGCTTGAACTCAGGGCCTAGGAATTGTCCTTTAGCTTTTTTGTTCAAGACTGGTTCTCTACCACTTGAGCCACACCTTCACATCTGGTTTCTTGACGGTAAATTTGAGATAGTCTCATAGACTTTCCTGTTCAGACTGGCTTCAAGTCTCAGCCTCCTGAGTAGCTAGGATTACAGGCATGAGTGTATCAGTGCCTGGCTTCTGAGGTCTTTGTAAAGTTATATACATTCAACATGGCAAATAACCATCTACACTTCACTTTTCTTCCTTCTCTACTTACTCAATTACAGTCAACAAGGAATCAAACATGTTAAGGTAAATAAACTACCGTATTTGCTGCCTACACTACAGAAAAGTCTACCTTACAAAGACAATTTTCCAGAAGTATTTACCACTGATAAATACTGACATCCTATAATTTTAAATGCTAAGCTAGATTTATCTAATTTTTCTTATCCCTAAAGACTGGATTTTTTAAAATCTATAAACATTCTCTCTTAAAGAGAACCTTTTTTTTTTTTTTTTCCAGTCCTGCGGCTTGAACTCTGGGCTTGGGCACTGTCCCTGGGCTTCTTTTTGCTCAAGTCTAGCACTCCACCACTTGAGCCACTGTACTATTTCTGGCTTTTTCTGTGATTAATTGGAGATAAGAATCTCATGGACTTTCTTGCCTAGGCTGGTTTCAAACTGTGATCCTCAAATCTCAGACTTCTGAGTAGCTAGAATTACATGCGTGAGCCACATATGTAGTAAAACATATGTAGTAAAACTCTACTTGATTTATCACATTATTAAAAAATAAACTTGTCAGAACCCCTGTGACTAAGCAAGTAGTATAGTTATATAATTGAATTAGAACTTTATGCTTTGAAAAAATGTTGATCTTTTAAAATAGGAAAAAAATGACAAACCAAAGGATGACAAAGATGAGAGTAGCTGGGTGCTGGTGGCTCTCACCTGTGATCCTAGTTACTCAGGAGGCTAAGATCTAAGGATTCTGATTCAAAGGTGGCTGGGCAGGAAAGTTGGTGAAGACTTTTTTCTTTTCTTTTTTTTTTTTGCTGGGCCTGGGCCTTGAACTCATAGCTGGGCTCTGTAAATGAGCCTCTCTGTACTCAAGGCTGGCGCTCTAGTGCTTGAAAGTGCCACTTCGAAGATTCTTATCTTCAATTAAGTACCAGAAAACTAGAAGTGGTGCTATAGTTCAAAGTGATAGAGTGTTAGCCTTGAGCAAAAGAGCTCAGAGACAGTGCCAAGACCCTTAGTTCACACCCCATGACCAGCTAAAAAAACCGATGAAAATAGCTCACTTTTACTGAGGTCTGAATCTGGCAGGTACTTTATATGACCTAACACATTTAACTCTTACCACAACTCTATAAATTAAGGCACTAAAACTGTCCCAGATTTATGGATAAAAAAAAAAAACTAAGACCAGGCTGGGAAGGTGGCTCAGTGGTAGAGCGCTTGCCTTGCATGCATGAGGCCTTGGGTTCTATTCCCCAGCACCACATAAGCAAAAAGAAAAAAGCTGGAAATGGTGCTGTGGCTCAAGTGGTAGAGTGCTAGCCTTGAGCTGAAGAGCTGAGGGACAGCACCCAGGCCCAGAGTTCAGGCTCCATGACGGGACCCCCCCCAAAAAAAAACTAAGACCAATGGTGGTAAAGTTACTCATCCAAGGTCATATGAGCAATAAGTGGCAGGGCTGAGGTTAGAACCTGGGTCACCTGACTCCACACTAACCCTGTGTTCTATATAAATTTCCCAATATATATGGATAAAATGTCATGTTTTTCTATACTTTAGCTAATAGTTCTGTACGTTAGGAATATTATCTAACTCCAAAGGGCTGTTGTAGGGATCGCATGTAATATGTAATATATAAAAATTAAAATAATATGCAATGTCATCTTTTATCTATTAGACTGGCAAAATAACAATAGATAACACTTAATCAATTTTACCATTTTTCAGGAAACTTTATATATATAGATTCAATTAAGTCATCCAAGAATCTTATGAGGGGCTGGGAATGTGGCGTAGTGGTAGAGGGGCTTGCCTAGAATGCACGAAACCCTGAGTTCAATTCCTCAGTAACACATAAACAGAAAAGGCCAGAAGTGGTGGTATGGTTCAAGTGGTAGAGCATTAGCCTTGAGCTGAAGAACTCAGGGACAGCACCCAGGCCCCAGAGGTCAAGCCCCAGGACACACCAAAAAAAAAAAAGAATCTTATGAAACAATTATTATTGTTCAGAGGAGAAAAGAAAGGTAGAGACATGAAATAATTGCCTACGGTGGCAAGTATTGTTAAAATCTACTTAGGCTTAAGTAACTCTTAAATTATCTGCTTTGATGATAATTAAAAAGAAACAGACCAACAAATACATTGTTGATTTTCAATAATGCCAAAAAAAATTCAATAAAGAAATGATAGTCTTTTCAACCAACAGCGCTAAAAGAACTAGACACCATACAGAAAAGAAAGAGAACCTTGATGTTGTACCTTACACAAAAAAATAACTCTAAATGGACCATAAAACTAAGTGCAATAGCTAAACTATGAAAAAAGTTTTTCTTTTTTCTTCCTGTAGCTTTATAGTACTGGGGTTTAATGTCAGGGCCTCAAGCTAGCTAGTCAGACACTCTGAGAGTGAGCCATACTTCCAGTGCTTTTTCTTTTCTTTTTTTCTTTTTAATACTTGTTTAAAAATCATTTGCATTCATATCTGGCCAGGTACTGGCAGCTCATGCCCGTAATCCTAGCTACTCAGGAGGCTGAGATTTGAGGACAGCAGTTGAAAGCTAGCCTAAGAAACAAAGTCTGTGAGATTCTTATTCTCCAAATAACCACCAGAAAACCAGAGTGGAGCTGTGGCTTAAAGTGGCAGAATGTGAGTCTTGAACAAAAAAGCTCAAAAACAGTGCCCAGGCCCAGAGTTCCAACCTCATGATCAGGGAAAAAAAATTCATATAGATTCATATCTAAAACAATCTTACGATCAATTGAAAACCACTCATTTCATTTGTTGATATCTGTTTATATTTCCAGTATATTGCTTGTTTGCAGGAATTAAAAAAAATTTACTGCAAAGGAAGAGATGACATTGTCTAAGAAGCTTTGCACTCATTAGTTGACTTTGTATAATTCCTTAATAACATTAAAAATAAGAAAATAATTTTTAAAAAAGTAAATTATTGACCAAGTGCTAGTTTTTTGTAAAATGCATAGCCTTACCTGGACTCAATTCTTTTTTTTTGCCAGTCCTGGGGCTTGAACTCAGGGTGTGGGCACTGCCCCTGAACTTCTTTTACTCAAGGTTAGCATTCTACCACTTGAGCTACAGTGCCATTTCTGGCTTTTTCTGTTTATGTGGTACTGAGGAATTGAACCCAGGGCTTCATGCATGCTAGGCAAGCACTCTACCACTAAGCCACATTCCCAGCCTCCAATTATTTTTTAAAATACATTTTAATTATTTTTAGTTGTATAAAGAAGTTACAATTGAACATGTCAGTCTATAAGTATAATGAATCTTGATTAATATCACTCCTTCCATCATTCTCCCCACTCCCCTCCCACTTGAGCACAGCTCTACTTCCTTCAGTTCTTTTTTGAGAGAGGGTGTAGCTTCCTGCCTAAGTGCATGCTTGGGCCACAATATGCTGATTTTAAGCTTTTTTTTAATCAGTAAAAAAGCTGAGGGAGAAAGTGAAACCCCAGTACTGGCACTAATGAAAACTGTTCTGTTTTTGGTCGGTCATGGGGCTTGACCTCTGGGCCTGAGCACTGTCCTTCAGCTCTTCAGCTCAAGGCAAGCACTCTACCACTTGAGCTACAGCGCCACTTCCGGTTTTCTGGTGGTTTATTGGAGATAGGAGTCTTATGGTCTTTCCTGCCCGGGCTGACTTTGAACCGAGATCCTCAGATCTCAGCCTCCTGAATAGCTAGGATTACAGGCGTGAGCTACCAGCACCCGGCGAAAACTGTTCTCTGATGTTACCATTTTTAACTTAAATGTTAAAAAATTAATGACATTATTTCCTATTTCCCATATTTACTGACAATTAGCTAATGAAATATACACAAAATTTAAAACTCTGTATTTATACTTCTTCAGTGATTTAAAAATGTATTATCTCAACTCTATGTGATATACAGTGTGACTTCAGACATATTAAGAGTAGTTAGTATGTATCTGAGGAAAGAATTATAAGTAGAATTGGAAAAAAAGGCTTTTAAAACTTTTTATTATCTAAATTACCTCAACATTTTCTTTTAAAATATTTCAGTTTAAACAAGTATATAAGCAGACATGCCTAGTTCTCTTTAAAGAGAAAAGTTCGTCTTCTATGTGTACTATTAAGTGAATCTGCATTGGCTTTGTCGGTTTGCAACTGTCCTATGCTACCTACCAACATCTTTAATATTCACCTAATAGTACTCTGCCTTTTAGGTTATATTCATAAAACATAACATATCTTTAGGTTATTTTTACTTTCCAATGCCAAATACATATTTCAGATGATACTGCATAGCCTGCTTACATTGAGATGTGGGATTCACTGCATAATATTTTAACAATAGATATATATGCAGTGTTCTGAAATACATTCTCAGTATTTTCAACAAGAATACTTTAAATTTGCATTCATAAGGTTAAGGAAAAGTATCTATAAAACCATTTTGAGGGGCTGGGAAGGTGGCTCAATGGTAGAGCGCTTGCCTTGCATGCCTGAGACCCTGGGTTTGATTCTTCAGCATCACATAAGCAAAAAGAAAAAAAGCCGGAAGTGGCGCTGTGGCTCAAGTGGTAGAGCACTAGCTTTGAGCTGAAGAGCTGAGGGACAGTGCCCAGGCCCAGAGTTCAGGCCCCACGACCCCCCCCAAAAAAAAACATTTTGAATCTCTGTCATAAGAAAAAATAAGGTGGGTGGGATAGGGGGTGTAGCTGAGGAGGTGGGAAGGGATGGTAGGGGAAAAACAAAGGAGGAGGCAACAACGCTGGATAAGAAATGTACTCATTACCTTGCTCATGTAACTGTAAACCCTCTGTACAGTATTTTCACAATAAAAAACTTAATTAAAAAAAAGAAAAAAGATATCTTTCTTTCCTATCTTTCTTATCCTGCCACAAGTACAAAGTTGCTTACCATTCATAGCTGTGGGAAACTGAGCCATCATCATGGTCCTGAATTTTCCTTGCTAGCTCTCAGCCATCTGTAACATAAAAATATGGTGTTATTAAAAACAGAACAAGGGCATATGACAGCTTAGCTTAGTGGCCTTAGCTAAGGAGTAAAAATGTCAGTCCCTTTCAACAACTCACATTTCCAACAGAAAACAATGCAGAGCTTCTGCTGCACAGGCAAAATTTACTTTTGGGGAAAGGGAGGAGACTTTGTTCAATAATCGTGCTTGCCTTAAACCCCTAATTAAAAGAAACAATCACATATTTCACAGCAAATAACAGAGTAAAGAAACTCTTGGCCCAAACTCACATTCTTATAGAAATCAACTTAGGAGAAAGGAAGTGTTGTTATATGTAGGTAAAAATTTATCTGAAAACTGGGTGCTTGTGTTTCATGTCTGTAATTATAGCTCCTCAGGGGGCTATATCTGAAGGACTAAAGTTCAAAGCCATACTGGGCAGAAAAAACTACAAGATTCCATGTCCATTTAGCCAGCAAAGGGCCATGCTGGAGGCATGCTCTGCTATGAGCAAGAAAGCCTTAAAGAATTTACTTGAAAAAAATCAACAGTACAAATTAAGTTCATAAAAATCCATAATGCTCATTTTTAGAAAATCCCCAAACAAGAAACATTTATCTAAAATAAACACAGTACAACTGTTTAAACTTTCCAAACTTAAAAAACAAAACAAAACAAACAGGAGCTGGGAAGGTGGCTTAGTGGTAGAGTGCTTGCCCTGCATGCTTGAGATCCTGGGTTTGATTCCTCAGCACAACATAAGAGAAGAAGCCAGAAGTGGCAAGTGGCGCTGTGGCTCAAGTGGTAGAGTGCTAGCCTTGCGCTGAAGCGCTGAGGAACAGTCCCCAGGCCCAGAGGTCAGGCCCCATAACCAACAAAAACAAACAACAACAACAACAAAAAACTGTCTAAAAGAGGCCTGGGAACTCAATGGTAAAGCACATTCCTGGTAGGCATGAAGCCCTGGGTTTGACTTCCAGGAAAACACACACAGACACACACACAGACAGACACACACACAGAGAAAATGTTAAAATATATACATAATATGCTAAAAAGCACTATGATCTAGCACAGAAGAATTTTTGAAGATTAATAGTCTGTGTCCATATCCACTCCTGCTACTTTCGTAGTTGTGACAATGGAAAAGTTATCTAAACATTTCCAAGTCTCAGATTCCTCCCCATAAAAGTATTTTGCGGTACTATTTTTTATTTTATTTTATTTTTGGGTCCGGTCATGGGGCCTAAACTCTGGGCCTGGGCGCTGTTCCTCAGCTCTTCAGCTCAAGGCTAGCGCTCTACCCCTTGAGCCATAGCGCCACTTCCGGCTTTTTTCTTTTTGCTTATGTGGTGCTGAGGAATTGAACCCAGGGCCTCGAGCATGCAAGGCAAACACTCTACCACTGAGCCACCTTCCCAGTCCCTACTATTTTTTAAAGTATTAATCATAATCCAGTGTATTACCTGACATCATATGTATTAAAAAGCTTGCATAATCTAGGAATCGCAAGAGCAGCATTTTTTTTTGAAACCTGAATTCATTACTTGACTGTGAATAAACTCAAAATTCAGCTGGGCAGTGACTTGTAATTCTAGCTATTCAAGAGGCAGATCTGAGAATAGGGTACCAAAGCCCACCAAAGCAGGGAACGCCACGAAACTCTTAACTCCAATTAAGAACCAAAAAAGCCGTAATTGGAGCTGTGGCTCAGGTAGTAGAGCATTAGCCTTGAACAAAAAAGCTCAGGAACAGTGCCCTAGCCCTGAATTCAAGCCCCAGTAAGAGCACACAAAAGAAATTCAAAATTTAATATTTGTTCCAAAAGAAATCTCTTCAGTCAAGGAGAGTAGAAGCCTCACAAATTTATACTAATATCTTATTAATCAAAACCATGGATCATAATATTGCAGTTTATATTAAAAGACCATTCAACATCTCATCTATTTTTCCAAATCCTTTAAATAATAGTTTACAAACACAGACACACAGGGATATGATGACAACATTGTTGTAGAAGTTGTCACCAGAACTAGTCAACTAGCTGCCAGGGAGTGTTAGTACTGTTATCAGAGAATTCAGTGTCCTCAAGAATCTAATCCTGTTTTTTTGTTTTGTTTTGTTTTTGTTTTTTTGTTGGTGTAGGGCTTGAACTCTGGGCTTAGAAATATGACTGTATTTCATGTTTATTTAGCAACAGAAAATTGGTAAATTCATTTATTTATAAGAGGACAGCTCCTTCCTCATATTATATCATTTGTTGTTACATATTATTTATTTCGAATTACAGCATTATTTCATTTTATACCATTTTTTTCATGTTGCAACATTCTTCATCTATTACATTTTCTTTTGATAGTACTGGGGTTTGAGCTCAGGGCTGTGTGCTTGCTAGGAAGGTTCTCTACTGCTGAGCCACTCCTCCAGCCATTTTAACTAGTTATTTGCTATCCAAGCACGTGTGTGCTTTGATCTACTTCTTTTATAATTCTCATGGTTGCTGGGATGATGGGTACATCCCACAATGTTCAGCTTCCCTCTGCAGAAATGCAGTCTCAAGACTTTTGTCTTGGCTGACCTGGAACCATGATGCTCCCAATCTCAGCCTCCCACATAGTTTAGGATTATAGGCAGTCTGACTGTTTGGAGTTGAGGAGTTTTGTGAACTTTTCTCCCCAGACTGGCCTCAAGCCACAATCCTTCCATTCTTAGCTTTCCAACCAAGTAGGCTAGATTATAAGGGTGAGACACCATAGGCTTCATTTATTATATTTGACCACAAAACTGTGTGGTAAACAAAAGAAGCTAATTGTGATCACAATGGTTAATGGCATCAGACATCAAAGGTCTGATATACCCATCGTCGGACACTACCAATTTTATTCTTCTACCTTCCAACTTTCTGTATGTTCTCCAAGTAAACAACATTGTAAAGTATATAGTTAGGCACTGTTATATAGGAAGTTTTTGAGCCTTAGGGAAGAACTGTTTGAAAATACCTAGCCTATAATGACGATAATACACTGCTATTCAAAGACACTGATATGAACGTGATTTCAAAATTATTCACTTAATCTTAAATTTTTAAGAAACCCATTACTCTTTAACCAGGCATGGTGGCTCACATCTGCAATCCCATCTACTCAGGAAGCTGAGATCTAATAGATTTTGGTTTGAAGCAGCCTGAATTCTCTAGACGCCATCTCCAAAATATCAGCAAAAAAACAATTCTGGAGCTGTGACTCAAGTGATAGAGCATGAGCCAGATAAGCGAAGCAAAGCAAGCATGAAGCACTGAGTACAAACCCCAATACCATCAAAAAGAAAGAAAAAGAAACCCATAAATCTTCCAACTGTGCTCCCTGGAGTTCTGGAAATATCCAGGAGATAAAACAGGTGATGCAGAGAATGAATGCAGACTAAGAAGATATACCAATTATAATGAAGACAACTCCGCTTTTCTGTCTCATATACTGAAGTTTCGTCTTATAAGGTTCCTTTCTTTCTTTCTCTTTTTTTTTCTTTTCTTTCTTTCTTTTTGTTGGTCATGGAGCTTGAACTATGGGCATGGGTGTTGTCCCTGAGTTCTTTAGCTCAAGGCTAGTACTGTACTACTTTGGGCCACAGAACCACTTCCAGTTTTCTGGTGGTTAACTGGAGATAAAGTGTCATGGACTTTCCTGCCCAGGCTGGCTTTGAAACACAATCCTCAGCCTCCTGAATAACTAGGATTACAGGTATGAGCCACCAGAGCCCGGCTTCTTTTTATCCGATCATATTTTTAAATGAGTTAATCACCACTAGAGAAGTAACATTAACCAAGACAGAAGCTCTAAGAAAATATGGATGTGGATTTTAGACTTGTAAGATAAGCAAGAGAATGTTCAATTGTGAACATATCTAACCTGACAGCCTTACAAAGACATCCAGAGACAGTAAGAACTCCATTTGCATTACATACTCAGATTTGGTAGTCAACAGAGACTGGGAATAATTGTAATTATGCCAGTGAATGACATTATCCTAGGAAAAGAATGTACATGAGACCCATGGTATCTGTATGTCTACGGTTCTAAGGAGAACCACTTCTGAGGAAAACCACATATGCTAAGGCTGCACAGAACTCAGCACTGTATTGCGAGTACTTGATTCATTTATCACATAATACCTCCCAACACCCATGCCACCTATCAACAAACCTAAATTTTTCACATCATCCCTGCAATTAAGTACATTATTGTGTTACTTTTTGTCTATCATTTGCTTTGGAAGAGGCAGATTTACACAAAATTAAGATCAGGGAAATAAAACAGATCATGCAACTATTTAAACACAACTAATAGTAATACAGGACTGATGATTACAGGCGTAAGCCACCAGTGCCCCGCTCTTACTTCTTATATAATAAACCCAATTTGTTTATGTACTTATTACACAGTTTTGATGAAGGGAGGTAAAAAATAAGTATATAACTAGCGGGGCGCCGGTGGCTCACACCTGTAATCCTAGCTACTCAGGAGACTGAGATCTGAGCATCACCGTTCAAAGCCAGCCCGGGCAGGAAAGACTGTGAGACTCCTATCTCCAATAAACCACCAGAAAACTGGAAATGCACTATAGCTCAAGTGGCAGAGCATTTGCCTCAAGCTGAAGAGCTGAGGGACAGCGCCTAGGCCCAGAGTTCAAGCCGAATGACAGACAAAAAAAAAAAAAGAAGAAAAGAAAAGAAAAAGAGAAGAACAGAAACAGAAGAAATCAGGACAAAGAGTTAAGAGTTTCAAGAAGATAGTTATCATGGCCAAATGTCTCACAATCAAGACATTTTAAACTATTAGTTTGGCAATCTGTCATTGAGTGGTGGCTGCAAAAGTCAAACTAAAGTGGATTAGGCAGTAAAGGGGCAGTAAAGTGTAGGTGACTCAAGATTTATCTTGTTAGAGGAGGGGAATGAAGGATGGAAGGGGGAGGAATTTTTAAGAAAAGGAAGGTTTACCATAAAACTTTACTTT